TGTCTGTACTAACTTATTTGGAAGAATTCTATTTAACTGGATTAGTGGGTCTTAAAAGTGTTGTCACCAGTCCAGCAGCATCAGTATGTGTTAGAAATGTCTGAGGTTGGTGATTGTTAGGAGTGCTAAACTGGGGACCCTACTCCAGAAATTCCGGAGGTGGAGTTGTGATGTAGGAGGTAGGGTGTGGCAAAGCTGGCTGGGGAAATAAGCAGGACCTGTCAATTACAAGGTTCCAGGACCATGTCCAATAATTCCCAGGACTCTGTATGTGAAACTTCTCACAGGCTCCCAGGAGAGGTGGATAGCATAGAAGCCCACCCTGCATGTCTTAGGTGTGGGGCATGCTTTTATTTTTGTTTTTATACTTTCTTTTGTTGGACCCAAGTTTACTCTACAGAGCTAATTCTTCTCTTACTCCTTCATCCCTCACTTTTCAATAAACTTTGGTGCTGTTTTTGGCTTGTCTTGTCCAGTTCTTTGTTCTAGGCAAGAAGGACCTGGAATACTTTTGATTAGTGAACCATTTCTGAAGCAACTACCTGACAAAATTTGGAAATGTATCATTTAACTATTTCCCCTGGTGATAGTAATCCACACCAAAGTTTGAGAGTCATGGAGCTATATGATCATACCTGTCACTTATTGAAATCTTACAGCCCTTGGGAAGGCTAGTCTGTACTGTGTCTTTATGCCTTCTACCCAATATTTGCATGATCAGGTACCAGGAAAATAATGCTTGGGATGGCAGACAAAATCCTGGCTCTCCAACACCTTACATTTAGAAAAGAAGAATGCCTACAACCAAAGTTGGAATAGGTATAATGTAGAAAATTGAAATTAGGTAATAGAAAGCATTGTTGAAAGTATGACATTGAGATATACCCTATGTTTGTTTTATCTTGTATGTATTAACTTATTTGGAAGAATTCTATTTAACTAGATTAGTGGGTCTTAAAATTAAATCCTTTTGGAGAAGAATTTTTTGAGACTACCAAGTATGGACTGAGTTTTGAATTGCTGATGTGAGAAAAGTAAAGGGCAGTCAGAAAGGAATGAGTTAGGTTTGGGAAGCAGAAAAGCCAGTGTAGCTGGGGTTCAGTGGGCATGGGAGAGAGGTCTGAAATAAGGTTGAACAGTTAGGTAGAGGCCAGATCATGCAGGTTGTGTATGGACTTATTTTCCTCCCCCATTTTTTAAATTGTGGTAAATTACATGTATAAAATTTTCCATTTTAGCCATTTTTAAAGTGTATGGTTCAGTGGCTTGTTGTACTGCCATCACCATTATCCATCTCCAGAAGCAGAAGTTTGACTGATGCTGAGTATGTGAACACTGAAGAAGCTTTGAGCACAGGACTGACATCACCTGCATTTAAGAATAAAAGGATTATTGGCTGCTAAATTGAGTGTAATGGTGTGGGGCAAAGGGTGGGAACAGGGAGACCAGTCAGAAGAATAGTATAGTAATTGAGATGAGATGATAGTGATCTGCTGAGGTTGATAATATTGAGGGTGCTTAGAAGCATTGAGATTCTGGGTAAATTTTGATGGTAGAATCAGTAGAATTTGCTGATGGGTTGATCATGGCATATAAATGATCATGGCTTATAAAGCAAAGAGAGGATTTAGGATTTGAATTTTGTTAGTTCAGATAATTGATAGAGTTCAGGAGATGCTGGTTTGATATGTTTAATTTGACATGCTTTGTAGATGTCCAAGTGGGGATGTTGAGTAAGCTAAAGAGATCTCAAGTCAGGTAGGGAACATGACTTTGGGGCTTGTCAGCATATGCATGATAGTTATAGCCATGAGACTGAATGAGATCATCTAAGTAAAGAGTGCAAGAAGGGAGAATCCTTGGCTAAGTGTGAGAGCAGAAAAGTTTACAAAAAAAGGAATTGGCAAAGAGAAGTGGTAAGGAATGAAAAGTACCAAGAGTGAAGTGCTGGAAGGAAAGAGACAAAAGTATTTCAAGGACTACAGCAAATTGACCAGCTGTGTAAAAAGCTCCTGAGAAGCCAAGACAGCTGCTGAAAATTGTGTATTTTAGCATATTTTATCAACATGGAGGTCTTTGGTGACTGTGGCAAGCTGTTTCAGTGGTATTACAAGTTTAGAAGTCTGGTTTGAAGTGTGTTAGAGAAAGAGAAAAGAAGAGATAATCAATGTAAGGCTAGGATGTTCTTCACTTTGAGAGACAGCAGGTTTGTACAAAGCACCTTGTGATGCAGGTTGGTGCATTTTAAAATTTGACTTGTAACAGGCTCACATGCCCATGTTCCAATTTCAGTTTTTATAGTGTGTAAAAATAAATTTTAAAAATAGGAGCTTGAGTAAAAAAAATGTGTGGAAGGTCTGAATAACCTATATGAAGTCCTAGGGACTTTATAGAACACATTTTAAAAACTGTATTCTAAGGTAAACTTGAAATATTTTTAGGGAAATAGATGTATCTTGGATCATACTTTTAAGTCAAATAGATTAGACACACATGTTTAAATATTGTGTTGTGTCTCTTGTTTGAGAAACCAAAAGGGGAAAATAAATAAGGACCAAAATAGATGATGGATATTGGGAAGTAGGAAGAAAATACTTAGATGGGAAGGGGAACAAGGGAGGTGGGAGGGTTAAGGGAGGGAAAGGGAAAGGAAAATAAAAGGGAATAGAAGGAAAAAAATGGAAACAAAACTTTTGTAAATAAAGAGGGGAAAAAGATTGAAGGGAGAGGAGGGCAATGGGGGGAGAAAAGAATTAAGGCGTATTATGTACAGGTACTCTATGATGTACCAGTACTCCATGATGAATACGATCACTATGTATATCAAAAATGTACCAATAAAATTAATTTTACAGAAAGACAAACCTTTTCCTAATCCAGAGGAATGGAATTCCAAGATGAAATTCCACCTGTTGCAAAATGTTCTTTTAAAGTGATACTTCCAGGTTTGGAGGAATCTTCCTGATGCTTTTCAGATTATATACTATTCATGAAAGATGGCCTTACTTTCTTTCATCAGATGCTCTACCTTGAAATCTTTTGAATAAAAGGATGTTCCCTAAGGTATTTTCCATAAATAATTGGTGCCAAATGGTACTACCTTTGTAGATCATTTTGTATCCTCTTCAGAGGAAAAAAAAAATAAGATTTTTAAAAGGCCTTCTTGAAACTTGGGGTTATTTCAGAATATTTTTAAAAACAAGATGCTTAGGGGCTGGGGATTTAGCTCAGCGGCAAAGTGCCTGCCTGGCAAGTGCAAGGTCGTGAGTTCGGTTCCTGGTACCGGAGAAAAACCAAAAAAAAAAACAAAAAAAAACCAAGATGCTTACATTTAGTAGACACTAAATTAGACATTTTTAAAAAAAATAACTTTCACGAGGTATATTTAAATGCCTTGAATTTTAGAGCACTCAACTCTTTCTACCTAGACCTTCATTTAAAGCAAAGCCTACATTTCTCTTTAATGAAAAATTATGACCTTCCACAATAGAAATAAGTAGTTTCCTGATACACAAAACACATTTCATTTCATTTCTAATCTTAGGAAAGTAGAGAAAGTATTACCATATTGAGCCCAGGATGCCATCACTTATAAGGTCAAACCTGTATATTATGTATTACTAAGACAAAAAATTGTTGCCACTTAGAATTGTAAAGTGCTATAGATTGTAAGACATGATAGTATGCAGGAAACAAAGTCCATCTTAAAGTCAATAAAACACAGAATTTGACGGCCATGAGGTATGAATTCTAGTCCTGGCTGTATTGCTGATTAGCTGTGGGACCATACATAGGTCAGACTTGTATTTCCTTCTGGTTCTTTACCTGTATGGTGGGATTAAGCCCACATAACCTACCTTACAGTGTTATGAAGATGAAATGAGATTAAATAACACAATTATTTTGATAAGTACAGGTTTTGCTATAAAATTCAGAATAGTTAATTAACCCTTGGGTATTAGGCAACTCATATTTTCTTCTCTGAGCTTTTGGTCAATTTCAGAATAGAATTCAGTTATAGACGTTTGAAAATATACTTTCTCTGTTAAATGGTTTTTCATTTAATCTGAAATATCTTTTTATTGTAGTTTGAGATTATAAGGAAAAGACAAAGATAATATAACCACAATATTCTTTTTTTTTTTTCTCCGGTACCGGGAACTGAACCCACAACCTTGCGCTTGCTAGGCAGGCACTTTGCCGCTGAGCTAAATCCCCAGCCCCAACCACAATATTCTTATCACCCAAAATTAACAACTGTTAACATCTTGTTAGTGCTGTGATCTTTTAAAAATTTATGAATATTATATTAAAAAGTAAAATAATAGTGAATAGTTCTACACTTTCCATTGTCAATATAGGTGAAGCCCTGTATGTGAGAACAGTGTCTTAAATTCAAATTAATATCCTGTCTAGTGAGATAGGGCAGTATGTCTCCGGTTTTAGGATTTGAAACCTATAAGTAGCAGGTTAATTTTGTTACATGAGTGCTTTATCCTGGAATATGTTGGAGATGGCTGTTTTGTTTTTTACTGCTTTTGTCTGAGTTTCCTCAAAATTCAACCTATGGCTTTGGAGCTCTAGCTATGGAAATAAAAAATATGACATCTGTCTAGTCATAGTAACTTGTTATGTACCAGATGTGCTTAGATTGTTTTGTGTGTGTGTTTTTGTTAAGTTTCACAGTAATTCTTTTCATTAGCTGTTTTTATTTTGAGAATTAGGAAGGTTGTGACTCAGAAGTTGAGTAGCTTGTCCAGCATTCCATGGCTACTGAGTTATGGAGCTAATGATTTTAATCAAGATCTACCTTATACTGGATCTGGAGATTTAGCTCAGTGGCACAGTGCCTGTCTGGCAAGCCCAAGGTTATGAATTCGATTCCGGGTACTGGAACCCCCTCACCCCAAAAAAAGATCTACCTTATATACCATAGCCCGTATGTTGTGCATCATGCTGCCTCAGTCTTTGTCAGTAATCATAATCTGTTTCTTTTGTAGGCAAAACCCGGAGACCACGTTTGAAGTTTATGTGGAAGTAGCTTATCCTAGGACAGGTGGCACTCTTTCAGGTACTTTGCATATTTGATTATAATACAGTGTGTTTCTTTATTGTATGAGATAGAAATGTACGTGAGACATTATATGAATCATGTGAATAAACCGTTACTTAACTTTAAGTATATTCCCCACCAACCTCCCATGTCTGCATCATCGTAAGAAGAATGGAGAATGAAAGCACAGGGAATAGTGTGAATTGAGTCAAAGTATGGCTTTCCTCATTGTAATCATAGGGTCTTCCATCTGTCACAGATGCTTGAAGTCAACTTTGTAGTGTGAAACATTGTCATCTTGCTAATGAGCAAGGCTTAGAATTAGATTATAGGATATAAAATAAAAGAAAGGAAATTCTCTGCCACTAAACTAAAAGGAGATACTTGAAATGGACAATTTAGCAAATCTTATATCTGCTGTAAGAGAAGATCGGGGACTGTACTGTAGAAGGAAACACCTTCTTTGGCTTTAGCTTGACTAATTTGTATATGTATTCCTGGGTCTTAGATAAGGTTAGAGTATCTTGTGCATGCTGTGCATATCACTTCTTGGCATAAAAACCTTCTTGGTTAATGAGAAAAATAACCTTATTGTCTAGTATACTTCTAGATACCTAAGAGGGTGACGCAGTTTGCCAAGTGTTAAGAGACTCGATCTGTACACCCAGACACCTATCCGTATTATTTGGTGTATAGGGAGAGTAATTTAGTTGAATGAGAAACTTGGAGTAATCAAGATTCTAATGACTATTATGCCCTTAATTGGTTTTACAACTTGGTCATATTTTCTATTTTGTTATTTTAATTAGACTGCAATAATCATAAACATAGCTACCTTTGACTGTTGTTTTGTTATCCTACCTGCTGGACATCTGTGTTGTTGATCCTTACAATATAACCCTCAAAGATAATTGAATAGCATCCTTATTATACCTATGAGAAAATAGAATCTCAGAAAGGTGAACTAACTTACGAAGTTCTTGTAACTGTGTGGGATAGCCAGGATTTTCGTTTCAAGACCTTTTCACTCTAAGTTGCCTTCTTGATGGCAATAACTACATCGTACGCTTCCTTGTGCTGCCTACAGGGCTTTGCACAACCTCACCAGTATTTGTCAAAGTGAAGGAATTTGCTTTCATAGTAAGTGTGAGTAACTATACTTGCTGGGTTATCTCAGGAAGGCTGTGAAACATATTACAAACATGTGGTTCATCCTGAAGTAGAAAGTTAATACCCAGGTTAAGATATCCCTCTTGTGTACAGAGAGCAGGAACACTCAATGTAGAAGTACTGTACCTGTTAACCAGGTGTGTATGTGTAGCAGCTCCTCCATGGGTTGACTTTACCAAATAACCATTTGGTGACAGCTGTGATTTGTCAGATAAATTCAAGAACAAAAATGTTCTGACCTCTACTATTGCTAATATTTCCCCCTGTCAACATCTTAGGATTTTCCTCTAAACTTAAAATTAATTTTTCTGAATATGAACAAAATTTGAAAGGCACAAACAAGATGGAAGAATGAAATGCATGAAGTCTTTATCTTACTCCCTTATCTGAGTCATCTGACACCTCTCTCCACAGATACTTCTTATTTAACCCTTTAGGGTTTTCCCCAACTTTTTATTTTGAAAGTAGTTTGAAAGAAAAAGCTTTAAGAACAGTTTAGTGCATATATCCTTTCTGTAGATTCACTAATTCTCACTTGTTTTTTTTTCTGGTGGTACTGGGGATTGAACATAGGGCCTCTGTGCTGAGCTACATCGCTAGCCATTTTTATTTTTTAATTTTGAGATAAGGTCTTGCTTATAAACTAAATTGCCTAGGCTGGGCTTGAACTTTCAGTCTTCCTGCCCCACCCTCCCAGAGTGCTGAGATCACAGGCATGTACCACCACACCTGGCTTCTTACTGTTGCTTTTTTGCCACACACACATGCTTTGTCAACTGCCCCTCTGCCCCAGGCTGCTAAACCAATTAAAGAACAAGTTGCAGACATTATTGGCTGGCCTTTACGCCTTAATATTTCAGGATATTTCTTCTAAGCAAAGCAGTGCATGGTGGCTCATGCCTGTAATCCTGGCATTTTGGAGGTGGAGGCAGAAGGATCTCTGTGAGTTCGAGGCCAGCCTGGGCTACATAAATGAGCTCAAGGCTAGCTTGTACTATGTAGTGAGACCCTGTCTCAAACAAACTAAAGAGGGGGGAAAAAAAGAATGAGTACATCTTCTTAAATAACCCTAGTCCATTTATTAAAATCAGAAATTTTAAAGTTGATACAATGTCATTTGTCCATATTTAAATTTAATCAACTCTCCCAGTAATGTCCTTTATAGTCTTTTCCCTTCTGATCCAGAATCCATTTCAGAATTAGGTAATCCATTCCTTTTTATATCTATTTAATTTCTTTCAGTTTAGAATAGTTTGTCACTTTATTTTTCTTCTGTGATATGTTTTTGAAGAATTTAGGTCTTTTTTAGAGAAAGCCCCTGGATTTGTATCTGTCAGTTGTATCTTCATGATTAAGTTCAGGGTGTGTGTTTTCAGCAGAAATTTCTTAAAAATGATTTGTGTCCTTCTCAGTGCATTGTATCAGTAAGCACATGGTAGCTGTCCCATTATTTGTGGAAAAAGTACATAAAACCTTTGGTTTAACAAATAAGTATAAAATGAGTGGCTATGTTACTACTATCCATGCTAAGAATTATGATGTTGCCTGATTCTATAGCAGTGTTAGTTCTGCCAACGAGGACTCCTGTTCTGGTCCTATATCTCAGGAGGCCTTACTTTGGCCCTGTTCTGACTGTGCCCCTTTTCCTTGTGTAAAGGAATCTCTGGATCTGCAGGACATATGTACTCAGACCCTAAACTCTTATATCTTAAACTATGCTGTGAGTTCCCAGGATCTCCAAATTCCTAACCCAAATCCCTAGCCCACTTTTGTGCATGGAACTACGAGAAATCAAAAACTGCTCACCAGGAATCAGGCCTTCGAGTTAGTTGTAAAGGTGTATTTGTCATGGTAGGATAAAACATACTTAACAGCCTGTAAACTTGTTTTATATCTTTTAGATACAGTATTTACAAATTTAGTCACATGATCTTTGGGTCTTTGTACCCTTGATAGGCCCTTTAAATGGAGCTGGGCTTAGCTGGTACTCCAGAGGTCCCTCCTTCCCTTTCTTCAGAGGTAATCACTATCCTGACTTTTATGATAATCACTCCTTTGTTTTTCTCCATAGTTTTACTACATAAGTATATGTAATTTAGTTGTGCCTGTTTCTGAATTTCATAGAATTACTCTTTATGCAGTTTTACTGCTCTTTGCTTGATAATGTTTATAAGGGTCTTCCATGTTGTATGTAACTGCAGTCATTCATGTCATTGCTGCATAATACAGAATTAAATCACAACTAAGTTATCCATGCTGATGCTGATGCTGATGCTGATGCTGATGCTGATGCTGATGGTGATGGTGATGCTGATGCTGGGGATCCAATCCAGGGCCTTACTCATGCAATGCAAATACTCATTGCTGAGTGATACTTCCATTCCAAATTGACAATACTGAAAATGTATACAGTTTCTAACTATTCTACAATTTCTATTTAAGTGGGTGTGCATATCTTTCATCTTATAATTAGCCCTGGTACACATATACATTTGCTTCCATAGGATATATAACATACCTGATTACTGGGTCATGCAAAGCTGTTTTGTTGAAGTTGATTGTGCTAGGCTACCTGCCCACCTGCACTGCTTGGTAATCATTAATGCTCTTACCAGTTCTTCAGCCCTTGGACAGTTAGATACCATTTTTGCCAAGCTGATGGTTGTGCAGTAGTATCTCTTTGTTGTTCTTATTTGTATTTTCCTGGTGATTAGTGAAATTGAACACCTTTTCATAGTACTTACTGGCATTTTGAATATTTTCTTGTTGGGTGTGGTGGTGCACGCCTGTAATCCCAGCACTAGCCTGTGATGGAGGATCATTGTGAGTTCAAGACCATCCTGAGGGGCTGGGGGTAGCTCAGTGGCATAGTGCCTGCCTGGCAAGCGTGGCATCATGAGTTTGATTCTCGGCACCAAAATAAAATAAATAAATAAATGAATGAATAAAAATAAAAAGGATCAGCTTGGGCTACAAAGTGAGCTCAAGGCCAGCCTGAACTATATAGGGGGATCTTGTCTCAAAAAGATAACCCCCCCACAAGAATACTTTCTTTTTAAAGTGGATGTGCATATCTTCCATTTATATTTTTTTAAATTTTTATTTATTTATTTAGTTTTGTTTGTTTTTCCGGTATTGGGAATCGAACTCATGACCTTGCACTTGCCAGGCAGCCGCTGTGCCGCTGAGATAAATCCCCAATCCCTCTTCCATTTATTTTTGAAAATTGCCTTTTAAAACCTTTTCCTCATTGGCTGATAAATTGTTTTTATATTATGAATATATATTAATTTCCTGGTCATATGTTCTGGAAATATCTTCCACTCTCTGGTTTGTTTTTCACCCAGTTTATGGCAATTTTGATCAGAATTTCACTGTCTAGGCTGGCTGTGGTGGTGTCGACCTGTAATCACAGCATTCAGGAGGCTGAGGCAGGAGGATTGCCAAGAGAGTTTGAGGCCAGCCTGAACTATATAGCAAGACTCTCTATCAAAAAAAAAAAAACAAAGGTGGGTGTGGTGGTACACACCTGTAATCTCAGCAGTTGAGAGGCTGAGGCAGGAGGATTGCTGTGAGTTTGAAGCCAGCCTGCGCTACATAAGCAGGTAGTTCGAGGCCAGCCTGCACTACATAGCAAGACCCTGTCTCAAAAAACAAAACAAAACACAAAATTCACTGTCTAAATGTAGTAATCAGTGTTTTCTTGCCTTACCCATGTAAAGATTTTTTTTTCTAAGAGATTTGTAATTCTGCTTTTCATATTTAGATTTTTACCAAGGATTTTTGTTTTCTGCTTGATGAGTAATATCTACAGAATTTAAATTCTAAATGTGGGTCTTCACCCATGA